CTTGTTCAACACCAACAACACCTTTAGTATCACCAATAAATTCACCATCATCCACGGGTGTGGGTGGGTGTGGGTGTGGTTGTGGGTGTGTGGGTGTGGGTGTGGGTGTGGGTGTGGGTGTGGGTGTGGGGTGAGTGTGGGTGTGGGGTGTGGGTGGATGTGGATGTGGTTGTGGGTGTGGGGTGTGGGTGTGGGTGATGGTGGGTATGAGTGTGGGTGTGGGTATGCGTGTGGGTGCGTGTGGGTGTGGGTGTGGATGCTGGGTGGTGGTTGTGGGTGTAGGTGTGGGTGTGGGTGTGGGTGTGGGTGTGGGTGTGGGTGTGGGTGTGGATGTTCGTGTTAGTGTGGGTGTGGGGTGTGATGTGGAATGTGGGTAGGGTGTGGGTGTGGGTGTGGGTGTGAGGGTGTGGGTGTTGGTGTGGGTGTGGGTGTGGGTGTGGGTGGGGTGTGGGTGGGGTGTGGGTGGGTATGGGTGTGGGTGGGTGTGAGTGTGGGTGTGAATAGGGATCTTCTTTTAACGTATCAACATCCACATACGCACCCACACCCACACCCTTAATCTCAAGGCGAAAAGTGCAGGTTGTAAATCGCCAGCACGTACAGCACCTACTTAACACCTACATAACCTCCACAACACCTACTCAACATTTGTCTTCTACCAACAGCACCTATCCAATATCTACTCAGCAGTTTTTACATCAAAATTCAGTCGAGTGGTACGGAAGGGTGTGGTTGTGGGTGTGGTTTTTGATAAGCTGATGGCTTACAGCCACACCCTCAAGTAAGTAAATAAAAATCAATGGACATATGCAATTGAATATGTCAATATTGTACAATAAAAGTAAAAAGAGCGCAGTAGTAATCAATAATTAAGGAAGATTTCTTTAATAAAATTAAGAGAAACAAGCTAGACTTTCTAATAGTTGTTTAAAATATGAAAAAAGCATTATAATTAAAAATTGTCAATAAAACAATCATAATTTATTGAAAGTTTGAAGATACCATTCATATTTAGGTAACATTGAACAAGACTTTAATGAGTAACTATTTGCTTTGGGATAGATATATACGTAAGGTGTCCTTTCTTCCAGTCATTGCTACATCTATTTTTCCATCATTATTAAAATCATAAGCGACTGCATCAGTTGGAGAAGTAAGAATCGTATTAGTTAGCTGATAAGGAAAAGACGCATTTCCACTACTAATCAACATACACATTGTACTCCATTGATAACTGATTGTTGCTATGTCCAGAATTTTATCATTATTGAAGTCACCAGACAATAAAAGAGCTGGATTTTCACTTGCATTAAATTTGTTTTGATCTTGAAAACTTCCGTTCCCATAGCCCAGATAAACACTGACTGTGCTTTCACCTTTATTGGATACTACGAGATCACTAATTTGATCACTATTCAGATCTAGTATTATCACAGAACTTGGACTCTTTCCAGTCATGTGGGATCCTTGAAATTGAAAGGAACCGTTCCCATATCCTAATAAGATACTGACATTTTGACTGCCTATGTTAATTACTGCTAGATCCATTTTTTTATCTTTATTAAAATCACCTGACACTGCAGAAATTGGCCGTGTACCAGTGGGAAACGAACTTCGATTTTCAAAGCTACCGTTGCCACTACCAAGTAAGATACTAACAGTGTTATCTTTTTGATTGACAACTGCTAAATCTAATTTATTATCACTGTTGAAATGATCTACAATCACGAAAACTGGCGAGACTCCACATGGATATTTACCCACATTTTCTAAGATATTGTTTTTAGTAGTCAATAATATGGTAACACTTTTATTGCGTGTATTGACCAGTACTAAATCTGTTCTATTGTCATTGTTGAAATCACCAGCTGCCATATCGGTTGAAATTTCTTGAAGCATAAACGGTATTCGAGCTCGAAACGTACCATCTCCATTTCCTATCACTAGACTGAGACTGTTTGCTAAGTTGTTAACTACTACCAAATCAAGAGTTTTATCGTTATTAAAAACATTCGCCATAAGAAAAATTGGTCTATTTCCAGTGGCATACTTAACTTGCGGTTGATATGTCCCATTTCCATAGTTTATTAGTATGCTGATTGTGTTGTCATACATGTTCGTTATTGCAAGATCTAGTCTGCTATCATTGTTGAAATCAGCAGCTATCACAGCGGTCGGATTAGCGCCAACTTCATAATATACACCATGTTGAAAGCTTTCATTTCGATATCCCAATAGTACACTAACATAAGATCTATCTGAAATAGTTGCTACCAAATCCAAAATATTATCATTGTTTAAATCTGCTGCTGTCAAACCACTTGTACCGTTACCAACTTCACAATGTACTTGAGTCTTGAATCCTCCATTTCCATCACCAAACAAAATACTAATGAAAGTGCTTCCACTATTAGATACTGCCAAATCCATTTTTTTGTCATTATTAAAGTCTCCCGATACCACAAAGGTTGGTATCTCCCCGACATTATAGGTGACTGAACCTTGAAAATATCCATCTCCAATACCAATTAGCACAGTAATGTTGTTATCATCTTGATTGACGACTACCAGATCCAAGATCAAGTCATCATTGAAGTCACCAGATATCATAGAACTTGGATATGCGCCAACGTTAAGCCATTCGTAATATTCATATGTTTCATCATGAACATCAAAAAGTATATATATAGTGTCGTCAAAGCTATTCAACGCTGCCATATCGATGATTGAATTATTATCAAGATGTCCGCATACAACAGAAATCGGTCCCATGCCAACTGTAAAATCTGTCACGTAATCCAATGTTCCATCTTTATTGATATTCAACAGGGTGATAGTTTCATCATTTCTATTAACTACGATAAGATAACTTGTGTTACTACTCGCATTGCACAATGTCACAAAAACTGGATCTGTACCGGTATCAGTTTGTGTTGGTGTCGAATAGATACCGTTTGCATTTCCAAGTAGTATATCAATACTTTGGTCTCCAGAGTTCAATATAGCCAAATCTACGTATTTATCATCATTGAAATAACCAGACACCAGAGATATTGGAAAACTACCTATGTCAGACGTTGTTCCAGATGGATATGGATTTGTGAACATGTATGCTAGAAAAATAAAAAAAAATTAACCTCATAATTTTCTTTCGCACTAGGTTCTTTGAATAGCTTATTTTCTTTTCTGAAACATAATTTCAAAGGCGTAATGAAGTGTATGGGGTAGAGATTGTACTAACAGCTTTTTTACAAGATAATCAAATATTCGAGAAACATCGTTCGTTTAGAAGGAATTCTAAGATGGAAAATATTTCTCGTCATATCAATCTTATTTCTGTAAAGTATTCAATCAGTTCTTCAAGTTTTTTGTTTTGATTGAAAAAATCAAAGATATGATTTCAAAAAATTAAAACTTTATACGTAAACGTTTTGAATAAAAACATATAACTCGTCAACAAAGTGAACCATGCCGTATGATAAACTCTTAAGAGAACATGTCTAAACTCGAGTTGAAATCACAAAAATTTGTCTTACGTCAAGCATTACGATAAACTGATGATTATGTCAAAGATTTTCATAAAAGTTTTTACCACAAATGAATTAGAACAGAGACTTGTAGATATAAATAAGGAAAAGAAAAGAACATAAAAAATGCATACATACGTGGCTCTTTATTTGCTGCTCGTAGTCCAAGAACAGCACCAAGAATAATTGCTACGATGCATACAATCACGAATAAAGCTGATGGAATAACAAATCGCTTCTTCCGATACCATGGAAGTCTAAATCATTTGATCAAGAGAAAGATTAGTCAATACCATTGTTTGATGATGATAATGTAACGAAACTTACTCAATTTTTGGATATAAGCATGCACCTAGTTATGAAAAAAAGAAAAGAATTAATTTCCAAACAACGATAAAATATATTTAAAGTACCTTCAAAAGGAAGCTCAAGAAGTGTTTCATCCGGTATGACTTGTTTTAAGTGAATGATATAAAGATCAGTTGCCGGACTAAATTGTGATTGAACTATCATATGAGTACCGGGTAGAAGTAAAATTTCATCTTCAGTAACGAAATGTGAATGAGCACGAATTGTTCGTCCATTGATTGTTTCAACAGAAAACAATGTTCGTGCACCTGTCGTACCCAAATACATATTATTTTCAAGCACGGTCAGTTCCGTTGTAGTTGATGAAAATGCCCACCATGTCACTCGAGTACCAGGTGGAAAATCGGCACTCAAATTTTTAGTTACTCCTCTCCATACAGTCAATGGTGGACAACATGGTAATTTAACTAAAGCAGTTAAGAATAATTTTATATACCGAAAATAAGGTCGAAGATCTTCACGACTGCAATTCTTCAATGTATAATTAAGCATTGAATAGAGACTTCGATGCGGTGCTGCCCATTCGATCGTATAAAGACGAATGGCTGCACTCTCATCGATTGTGAGTCCATCGGATGGTTCTTCGGGAGTTTCTTCAAGTGCCATATTAATATAATACGATAAATCGTGAAGAATATCATTTAGAGGAGCACATGCATCGACGAGAGGTAATAATGGCTCATTGGCATATTCAATAAGTGGAGCTTCATCTGTTCCAAGTTTTTCGTCTTCATTTGTAACTTGTTTATTTTCTTCCACAATAGGAGGTGGTGCAACTCGCTGGTTTTCGGTCTCACCACAGTTAAATGTATCATCAGCATTGTCATCTTGTGCATATGTATAATCTTGGTACGCTATTTCGTTTTCACCTACGTTCAAAATCAATTCGTTCAAGTTATGCAATGAAGTATCGTTGAACTTGACATTTTTTCGATTGGCCTTTTTCTTATGCTTCTTTCGAATATTATTATTCATGTGTTGTGTATATTGGTCTTCTGCGTAGAAAGTATCAGGCGTTACATTTGCTAGATGATTCATATTTAGGTTATCAAAGTTTACGATTGATTGTTGATTTGACAAGCTGATGAATTGTATTGATTCTTGGTTTGATTTTTGTTGCTCATTTATCTTAGATTTTTTCGGTGAGTGATGGCGATGATGATGCTGATGTATCTAATAAAAAATAAAATTGATGATTCATTAATTTACAATTCGAATACATATTTTAATATAAATATCCATTTTCAAAAAAATACTGTAAGGAATTGAATTCATACACACACCTGATGGTGATCTTGTCCGTTATTCATATCATAAACATGGAATACAGGCAGATTGTCAGAATATTGTGATTCAGAAATAGCTCACCCTTCAATATTTGTAATTACTTCGTTGCTCGTATACTTGCGTTCGTTTGATGACTAATTAAAAGACATAATTATAATTTTTATGTATGTTTCTGTCATTTTATAGTTGTTAACTTTTAGTTTGTTATGCTTGAATAGCTTTCATGCTACATTACGATGTTTACAGTTTATATAAAATATTCGTGAACATCATTAACATCAAAGAACCGTTGAATAGGTGAAACTATCTTTTTTTTGCATTCAACATTACATGTAAAATATTTATAACTTTATAATTTCACTGTTACTAACTGAAAGTATGGCGTTACTTTATAATAAACAATTGCGATGTTCCCATGTAAAAGTGTATGCAAAATTTAACGATTTAACGAAATTTAATGTTACCTTTCTGTCCTTGAAAACGCGTTAAAATA